TACTACTACTACTACTCTCATCTAAAGGGATTGTATCATGTTTTAATGTATAAGATTAGATAACTATATAAAATATATTTTTTCCAATTGATATACAAGAAAATAAGTTGTCAAATAACATAGATGATCAACTTTTAAATGATTGTTTAGTCCTTTTTATTTAAAAGGATGTGTTTCTACAAGTTTTTGATGACGATATTATTGATCAATTTCAAGATGTTACGGTTATACGGATTCAATTGTAACTTTTGCTTAAATTATATTTTTATCACTTTAAATATTAGGGAAACTCTTTGCAATTATTATTTTAAAATGTTTGTATCCGGTATGAAATTTTTTGGTTCGGCCACTGTTTGATATTATTCTTGCACACCAATCGCTTGACCTCATGAAAGCATGCATCTATAATTATACTTTTTCATGCATCTAAATCATTCTATTTACTTTTTCACTCATGCGTGTTGAACGTGTACATAAAACAAAAAAATTACGAGGAAACATACATTTAGAAAGATCCCGACACTTCCAGACCATGTCATTGTTCAATGACGTAACTATGGATCATTTTTTTTCACATATATTTATTTACAAAAGTACATCTACAATTATTAATTATATTTTTTCAAGCTACAAGTACAAAATTACCGATAGAAAAAACTATCAAGTTTTTTGAAGTGTTAAAACTATGAATAAGATGTTTATTGTTTTGAATTTTGGGTTAATGTCACACATAACGTATATTATTTGTAAGTATATAAAGTCTTTAGTAGAAGTATCAATAAGCACATATTAAAATATACATAATTACAACTTTCAAAGCATTTTGTTAAAAATACATAAATTAAAAAAAGAATAACTAATTTAAACGGTTTAAATAATTTTTACTCTTACGAACTATTAATAAACACAGACTAAAATATATATAATTACAACTTTTTATTTTTGTTTCCGTGATGAGAGCCAAGTGACTAAGTGAAATTTCACAAAAAGGTTTATGATTCAAACCCTGACACACCCAAAATATTACTAGTGTTTCCAATTGACATCTAACATAGACCATTTAGATGGTATAATTTTTCATGTTTTTTTATTTAATCAAGACTATATATATATATATATATATATATATATATATATAGGGATAGTGAATATAAGGTTGTTATATACCCAAACTTAGGTGTGGAACCATCAAAACGAACGACGTAGTTTTACTTGAACATCACAAAATATTTCCCTTTTATATACCCACTTTTAATTATATATACATATATATCGTCAACGACGTTCCAGTGTATTTCTAGCAACAAAATATGATCTTTATTTAACATTTAACATTGTCGTTTACAAAATAATTTCGCAGCAAAAGGAATAGAGAAGAACAGATTAGTGAAAAAGTTTTGAAGTTAATAGTTTCAAATTCCAATTGGATTGTTCAGTGGTTTTTTTATCATTTAAAATAATATTCAAATTTATAATAAACAATTCCTTGATAATTGTGTAAACCTAAATACTGCATGAATGTTAAGATTTCCGTCTTAAATAAACTAAGAAATCAATTGATTATTTTTATTAAACAAATCGCGGATGTTGCCTTCACAAAGAAATTAATGACCTCTTTCTTAAAGAAATTGATCAAAATGAACATTGAAGAAATTAATCTCTGTTTCTAAACATTGAAGACGTCGATTTAATAAAATTGGGGTAAAACTACTCTACCAAAAATAAATGAGAAAATCAAGGTTTTCAAGGAATTAGAAATAAGTAGTTATATTTTAGTTCAAAACGGCGTAGTTTTGAATGGTTCCGCATCCAATCTTAGGTATATAACAGGCTCATATTCATTTTTCATATATATATATATATATATATATATATATATATATATATATATATATATATATATATAGGTTCTTACGAAAATATAAATAATTTGTGAAAATGAAAGAACCTATCAAAATGTGCCACGTGTGTTTATTTATTATTAAAAAATTAAAATTAAATATTGATTACATAATAGAATTAGGGAGAAATTGGTAAATTTTATTTTTTATATACGGTTACAAAGAATGTAACTGTGCAATGTTCCTGATTGCACGGAGTTAATTATGATACCTATTTCCCCCCTCGTCGTTTCCCGTAGCTTTTTCACTCACGCCTGCTGAAATCAAATGACACCTCCACTTACTGTCGGTCTTCAAAGTTAGTCTCCACTTCCACCACCGCTCGACCCCTTCGACCAATGCACCGTCTCCAATCATGACTTCTGAAATCAAACGAAAGCCTTCATTCGTGATGCGTTAAACGACATTGTACTGCTGCACCGCCCTTCGCGACTACAGTCCAAGCGACCATATTGATCCAAATAAGCCAACTGTTTGATGAAATGCCACTAAGAATCTTATCATTACAAATCATCGCCAAAATGATTAAGAAAGAATGCTCTCAAATTGGTTTTTCATTCTCTCTTACTAGATTACCTTATTAACTTTCTAATCTTCTTTTGTTTCAATATTTGATCTTGAAGAAACAAGAGCTCCAAAGGGTTAACTACACAGCTGATATCTTGGTGGATTCAGAATTTGGAAAACCTGGAGCAATCACCATTACAAATAAGCACCAAAGCGAGTTCTTCTTGGAGACTATCACCTTTGAAGGATTTGCATGTGGTCCTGTTCATTTGTTCATTTCCCCTGTAATTCTTGGGTTCAATCCACCAAAGATCATTGAAACCCATAATTTTTTTCTCTAGTCAGGTAAATTCAACATTTTTCCCACATACATTCCTAGTCAAATCTTGATTATTTAGCTTGTTATTATTCAACTTGAAAACACCAACAACAAAAGAATCCAAACCCAAATAAAAAACGTCAAGATTCAAAATTTCAAAGTCGAACCTTAAATTTCCATCCTATGACTTATCATAATTTGAATATTCCTGGTCTTAAAAAGATACTCCATTTGGATTCCAAGCTTTCGCTTTCATTGATCAAAACTATAACTTTCTTTTTTCCCTATTTGCAGGCATATTTGCCTAATGAAACTCCATTAGGATTAAAGTCTTTAAGAGAAAATGACCTTAAAGATTTAAGAGGTGATGGGGATGGAATCAGAAAGCTATCAGATCAAATCTATGATTAGAATGTTTATAACGATTTGGGAAATCCGGATATGGGAAATTATATATTAGGCCATCACTTGGAGGTGATAAAATCCCATATCCAAGAAGATTCCAAACTGAACCAAGTGATTATGTATATTTATAATTTTTATTTATGGCATGATTGATTAACTGTTGATAAAAATGTTGATTTTGTCTTGGTTGTAGGGATCTTTATGCTGAGTACATCATGAAAACCTTGAGGAAGTAAATGGTGATGGGGATCTTTATGCAATTGCTGTAGGGTGGACTGGTTAATGCATGATGGGGCCTTTGCTAATATATATTTATTTACTGTGTTTATCTATTTATTTTATTATTTTTTTTTAATTTGTGTTAGCGATGAAAGAATGACCTTTTGTATTGTTATTTATTCAGATCATCGACAATGTAAAATTTCATTGGATAAATCAAATTTGGTGTTATGTTCTTTGAAATTATGTTGAAGTTAAGTGATGTATAAAGAAATGATATTCTAATAAGTATTTGAGAAGATTAAGATCGAGCTAGAAAAATGGAAGCAAAAAGTAAAGATTTAAGAAGTCAAATTTGTACAAATTTATGATTAAACGTAAAAGGATAATTTTTTTCAACTCTATTATTAAATAGTTTTTATAAAGGAATCATAATAGGCATAACTAATGCCCATATAATTATGTAGAAAAAAACCAACTTACGGTTTCTTAGATGGATATAACCGATTACAGAAGTTACAGATGAGGAAGTTTTTAAAATTACAATTATACCTTTTTAACCTTCTTGTAAGTTTATAATTTAAAAATTATATGTGGGTGAGGTGTCAAATCCTAATAGGTTCTTTTCATTTTTACAATATATATGTGTTTTCGCAAGAGCCCTCCATATATATATATAGATATATATATATATATATATATATATATATATATATATATATATATATATATATATATATATATATATTATGATTTGATTACTTTGTCTGGTTTGATATCATCATCTTGTACTATACACTAAAGAAATATTTTTGTACAAATTACATAAATTTTATTTCAAAAAGAAAATTTAAGGGTCAACCACGAAGTTTATGACCGAATAAAGTGGACTACTAGTAATTCAAAACTTCATTACAAATCCATGTCCGAAATACTTATTCTGTACAATTTAAAAGTAATAAATTTTATAAATATTAAAAATCACATGATAAATTTTCAATCTATAAGTTATAATACTTAATACACAATATATTATATTTAAAGAAATCGGATCAAGTGGAACAAAGGATAATGCCCAAGCACTTGGTGCCGTTTAGTTTTTTTCCTTTTTTTCTTCGATGGTCTTGGTTGATTGAATTGTGTTTCCGTTACATCGGGAGAATCCGGTATCGGTTGTGGTTGAAAAGCTTGTTGGTATACAAAAACAGATTGATAAGGTTGTTGGAAATTAAATTGTTGTTTGAATGGTTGTTAAAAAAGTGGTTGTTGTAGGATAAGGGAGCTTTGGAGCAAGCACATGAAACCAACTTGTCTTGAATCTAAGCTCATATATTGACGTGGTGTAGTGTCTAACAAAAAACGGTGTGTAACAATTTTGGTTTCGGTTTGTTGGTGGAGTATTGGGATTTTATTCCATGGTAGGAGAGTAAGTTGACAAAAATGTATGTATGTGTGAATAATAGACAAAGAAATTAAAGAATGGTGTGAAAAATAGTTTAACCAAGTGATAAATTTATAGGTAAAATTCGTTAAACAGGTCTATATTGTCTTAATGTTTAGGTTAATCTACTTCAGTGATCTTGGAAACGCACAAAAACTGATGAACAAAAAAAGAAACAAGCAAAACAAGCTCTATTTTGCTTCTAAAAACGGTTACATCATTAGCACGAAGCATATCAGTTGTGTAATACAATACAAGAAGACGGCGAACACATACATAAATCTTCATGAATCTATTGCTGTACAACAACAACAGCAGTTGGTAGGTATCATTTGCAACAACATTTGTGTCGCAGACAAACACAAATCTATACCCCTAATTTCCTGAATTAGCATGATCTGGCATTGTGGGAACCTTTCTAAATGCATGTTTCCTACAGCGCTCAAATATACTGTCGTATATCACATCAAATTGCACTCCTGCTCTTTCACGATTCACTATGAAAAGTATATGATCGCCTTCCACTATCTTGTAATACCTACAACAACCCATCGCAAACAATTATTTATTTATTATATAGTTAATCTGGAAAAAACGAATTATTTATGCTTAAATTATTCGTTATAATTTATACCAGATGCCTGTTTGCAAGGGTTGACATTCAGAATCTTCAACAACAAAACGACTAGGGTGTTCAACCGGGATACGGGGGTGAGTCATAGAAATGGTATTTAGTGCGCCATCATTATCCCACCAATCTTCATCCCTAAAAAAACGAATTTATAAAATATAAAATCAAACACAAATTTATATAACTAACATTTTTTATAATTATCTCGGATGTCAACAAACCTGTAGCCCTTGAAAGGGGGAGGAACATCTGGTGGGTGCTTCCATTGACTCATCTGCAAGACTCTGATGAAAAGCAACGGGTGGACTCCTTGAATGTTGGAAGGAACAGTAAAACCCATGAATTTTTTAGTACGTTTTGTCGCGTAACTAAAGTAGTAGGTGCTAGGAAAGGTGTTAAGACGGCTGTTGAGACGCATAGCTCCTTGGATTGTAAGATCTGGAAGGATCCAGTCACCAGAAGTAAAAGGGCCAGAGTTTCCAACAAGACAATCAATAAGTCCCCATATCCCCGATTTCTTCCATGACATATTGAAATGATCAAATCCAAAAGAGTAATAATATTTCAAGAACGGAATGTCAAACCAGTCGTAGAGGATCACTCCTATACGCAATAACTGGAGAAGGCATACCGATTTCATGGATTTCCCATCATCTTGCCTGAAAAAATGGAGATGCGATAGGGTTTTTACAATCAATCACTTCCCTAGAACAAAAGATTTGAGGAAATTGAGAACTTACTGCATTCCGTCCAAGTAAGCTCGTGTGGTTCCATTGAAGGCACCGGATAATGACGTAACACTCAAGACCCAACTTTCAGAAGTATTTTCGTGTCCCCTGAACGCCTGAAAATTTACGATAGGTTGTGTTGTTTTCAATTTACAAATCCCAGAAAACGAATATGGTGATGTTGAATTGTAATGAAAACGAACCTTATCCGCCAACATTTGCTGCAAAGCTCGTATCACCTGAGCTCCGGCAGAATGCCCAACAAAGTGAATTGGATGATCTTCGTCCCATATAGGATAATGTCCTAATGAATTCAAGTAAATTTAAAATCAAGGATTGTTGATTTTGATTCGATTATTTTGTTTGTGATATTATAGAAAGATTGGGAGATTTTTTTCTAACCTTGTTCATATGTTCTTCCAAATTGGGAATGCCCATAAGCCTTGCTGTGTTCTTCACCGTAATCAACTTGGCCGCCTTTCAAGTAATAGAATAATTCTCTAGCCCTAAAAGTAAATACAATAATATATGATCACAACCCAGTAATTCTTCATAAACATGATATTAAAGCATGAATTTGGGCGGAAATTAAGAACAAACCTGTCATAAATACTGGTTAATGAACCCAAATCAGGCACCAAAACCTTCTCGTCCTTCTTTTCTGCCCCAGCAAAATAAGACAACCCCCCTAATCTCTGTTAAGAGAATGCAAAATCAGATTGTGTTTAGATAGATTACTTAAAAGGAAGCAATACCCAGAAATCATGTTTAACAGATAATCATGATGAAACTCATTACCCCTTTTCCAAATCCAAAAATTCCATGAACCAACACAATGGGGGGCAGATCATTATCAGCGGCTGGAGACCCGATAAACTGTTCATCCCGGATTGATGGTTCAACATTTGACTTGAAAAACAGATCGTTCAAAGCTAATGAAAGATCACCGGCGACTGCAGAGCTAAAAATGTATAACCCAAACAATAAATGAACCAAAGAACTGGTGAATAGCTCGATCAATTGAAGAGCTGCTATCGAAAACCGAAACATCTTCCAGAACACCCACAACAATCTCTACTGCTCAAAAGAAACAGAGCCTTCTTCTGGGTTGAAAGAGAGAAGAAGGCCCTAATTTCTTTAAGAAACTCTGGAAGATTTCAATTTCAATCTAGAAATTTGAAACCCGGATGAATAAATGCGAATATCTTGTGGATTTGATGAGATTTCTCTAGAATTCGGTTGGTTGTTTTTTCAAAGGTGTTCGTTTACCACAATTTTCTCATTCCTCAACTCATCTCAAAAATTGGAAGTCACAACGCATTACAGAGGGCAAGTTTCCGTTCACTCATTCAATTTGACATCACATTTGTACACAAAGGGTCCACAGATGCTGGTCCCCGATTGGTTCCACGTGGCATAGAAATTTACGTCGATTAAACTTAAACAAAGTTTTCATCTATAATTATCCGTTTTTTTTTAAATGCAATTAAATAATAGTAAATCACAAATTAGGTTAATATTTCTGGGGTTTTCTCCTATTTTTCTAATTCCATCCCTTATTTGATTTGATTTGGTTTTTCGTTTTCTGTTGTTTTTTTTTATTGTTTTTAATTCATTATTATTATTATTATTATAAATTTCGAACAAAATTTTATAATTCGGACAACATTATAAAATTGGACGACTATATAAAATTCAAACGACTATATAAAATCGGGTTTTAATTATTTTTATTTTATATTTTAATATTATTATAACTATTATTATTATTATTATTATTTTGAACAACATTTTATAAATCGGACGACATTATAAATTCGAACAAATATATAAAATATTATTTGCAAAATATTAAATTTATAATTTCGCAGATATGACCCATTAAACTATTTGCAAAATATTAAATTTATAGATTTTTAGTAAAAGAAAACGTTATTTACAAAAATTTTTGTGATAGTAACCTTCAATAACCATTTTCATGTCAAACGAGAAAGTTAAAATAATGTAAATGTAGTGTTTTGAAAACAAAATGAGAGTTTTCATCAAAATGGTTTAAAATGAAGAAAAAGGAAAAATATGTTTATAGAGGACCACTCATCATCAAATTCAAAGCCCATTTATCTATTATCGCAGCTCACTTGACAATTTCGTAGCTCTAGCGGTAAGGATTGATCATTTCAACAAAGGTGTCATAGGTTTAAATATTCTTAAAAAATATAAATAGTATTTCGAATGGTATTTAGAAGTATATTAGATAATCTGCTGTTTAAACAAAATATAATAGTTTTCACTGTCATCTATGAAACTGATAACTAAAGGAGATAATTAAAGAATTATTTGCCTAAATCTTAAAAGAAAAGAAAAAGAAATCACTAATGAAGTTATATTTTTTGTCTTTTTCTTCAAACCTCTTTAATCTAATTATAAATATATACAAAAACTAAATTGTCAAATGTGAGCGTAAATACTGTAGCTAAAAGTGCTATTTAAAAATTAAAATGCATACAAATGCATAGAGTACAATTGGATGAAACATATTTAAATTGTTTTGCATTAAACTTACAAAATGGCCCTCACATGTTTTATTTATAGCAACTTACACGCCTTTCTTTCTTTTATTTAACTTTTTACCCTTACAACCTAATTAACTTGCCATTTGCAACCCTTTTTTCCTTTTTATTTTCTTTTGCTTTATACCCTTATAATCCATATGTTCTTATGCCTTCTTCACAATATACAAATTTTTTATTTTTTACTTGTCATTTGCAGCCTTTTATTCAAACAATAAATGCAACATTAACCCACCCCTTATCATTATAATTGTTAAATTCAATTAAAAAATAAATTTGACCCACCACAACATACGGTTGACAAAAAACTATACAAATTGTAACTTACAACACCTTTCACAAAATCAATGTAGCTAAAACTTTTACTTAGAATGCACAATGTATAACTTATTTTTAAAGTTATGGCCCCTACTTTTTATAGATTATTCAAAAACCATCTAACTTCTAGAAATTGTTCATAAATTCTTCTCAACTTTACTTATTCTTTCTACAGTTTTGATACCTACATTCCTATGGATTATTCAAAAACCATCAAACTTACAAAAATAGTATCTAAACACTTCTCAACTTTTGATAAATCACTCAACGCCTATTTATTTTAAACTTTCACTGTTTTTTTTAAGTTGTGATATATACAAGGAAAAAACACATGTAAGAACCTACAGTGAAATGCAGACACAAATACTAGTTATATCAATTAATCAGCCAGCTATTCTTTGACCTATGGTATAAGACATTGACATTGACATTTCCATATGGAAGGTTCAATGTTTAAGTCTTGAGTTGCAATTAAGAGTTGGACAGAAGATGATATATAATATACTCCGCTTTCTTAATCAACACTTGTAGCAACTTATAATTATTGATAAAAGAATAAAGTTGAATTTCTAACAAGATACGACAAATATTATGATATTTTAGTTTTATACCTGTTTTAATGAAAGAGTGAATTATAAATTTGGATGTTTCTATATAATTGTTTTCTAAGTTAAAAAAAGAACTATTTTTATAATTTGGGTGCCATTGGCGGTAGTTCGGATTATAAATGTGTGAGGGGGGTCTAGTGGTGAGGCGTTTGTAATATAAGTAATAGTTGCTATATATATATATTTTAGAAACGACAATATATATATATATATATATATATATATATATATATATATATATATATAATAGTTGTGAGACCCATGTATTACATAAGTTTATTAAAAAAAAAAATATATTTAATTATTAAAATTAAAGTGCTTATTTATCTTTTAAATTTAAACTAATAATTTAAATAAATAAAAAACTAAAATAATACTATTTGATTTAGAATTTTAGAAATTATAAGGAAAGTTGCATTAATGAATTGGATATACATTTATTATTACATTTTAAGTATTATATGAAATTTAATAAAATGGAAAAAATCATAAAATGACACATGGATATAATGTAATCTAAATTTACTATAAAATGACATGTGACATAATGCATAAGAGGATGACAAGTGGAAAAATTATTTTTATTTATTAGGAAAGATATATATATATATATATATATATATATATATATATATATATATATATTATATATAGGGTGAGGTTCAATAGAGAACCATAATTAACCAAGGAACCAAGAAACCAATATTTTTTTCAACTTTTAGAACTTAATTTTTATCAAAAAAAAAACTAAAAATACAGAAATTCATAACTTTTTATCCTTTTTCCAATGATATAAAATTAGAATTTTTTTTTACGTCATAATGTGAATCTTTTGAAAATTCACAACGTGAATCCGAAAAATATTTTTCACATTCACAATGTTAATATATGAATTTAGATATTTTTAGATTTTTTTTCGATAAAGAATAAGCTCTAGAAAGTGAAAAAAAGATTTGGTTATTTGAAGAACCAATAATTATGGTTCTCTATTGAACTTTTCCATATATATATATATATATATATTATATATATATATATATATATATATATATATATATATATATATATATATATATATATATATATATAAGAAGTGGAGAGCAAGGGATCACCCTAAAGAGATGGATGAATTGCTGAAGCTTAAGCACAGGTTACATGATCTAGATATAGTTGTTGAATCCAAATCGTTAACAGATTCGGAAATAGTAGAAAGGAGACTGGGAATTCAAAGGATAACGGAGCTTGAAAAATTGGCTGTTCTTGATTTAAAACAAAAGGCCAGATTAAGATGGACTGTTGATGGAGATGAGAATACCCGTTTTTTCCATGGGTATGTGAACAATAAGAAGAGCAAGAACTACATTCACGGTTTGATTATCAATGGATCTTGGAACACAAATGTGGCAGCAATTAAAGGTGAAGTATTTTCGTTCTATAAAAAAAAGTTTCAAGAGCGGTGGCCTTCTAGACCAAAGCTTATCAGCAGTGAATTTAATAGGATAGATCCTGCCTCTAGCTCTAGAATTGAGGATCCTTTCACGCCTGAAGAAATCAAACAAGCTGTTTGGGCATGCGGAGGGGATAAGGCACCCGACCCAGATGGTTTCACCTTTGATTTTATTAAAAAATACTGGGATGTATTGTCTGGAGATATTATGGAATTCGTTAGATATTTCGAGAAATACGGGAAGTTGGAGCGGGGGTGTAACTCGTCCTTCATCACGCTTGTACCAAAAACAAAAGACCCATTGAACCTGGGAGACTACATGCCAATTAGTCTAATTGGATGTCTATATAAGATAATTTCCAAGATCTTAGCTAATAGACTCAGCGGGGTGATTGACATGAACATTGGAGATACCCAAACTGCATTCGTAAGGGACGTAACATTCTTGATGGACCACTAATTGTAAATGAGATATGTGCTTGGGCCAAGAAGGTGAAAAAACAGGTACTACTATTCAAGGTGGATCTAGAAAAAGCTTTCGACTCTGTTAATTGGGAGTACCTTGAATCGATCCTTGTTCAAATGGGGTATGGAGATAAATGGCGTACGTGGATTAAGGGGTGTCTTCAATCAGCTAGACTTTCAGTTCTTATAAACGGGTCTCCAACTGCAGAATTTGGAATGGAAAAAGGCGTGAGGCAGGGTGACCCGCTGTCACCGTTCTTGATTATAATCGCTATGGAGGGACTCAACATTGCGATGAAAGCGGCTTGCCAGAAAGGTCTTTTCCATGGAATAAAAATACCACATTCAGAAATTTCAATCTCTCACCTGTTCTATGCCGATGATGCTATTTTCATGGGAGAGTGGAGTCAAAGCAACATTAAGAACTTAGCAAGGGTATTAAGATGTTTTCAGGTGGCGTCAGGGTTGAAGGTCAACTTCAACAAGTCTAGGGTATTTGGTGTCGGAGTTGACATGTTGGAGGTATCTCGTTGGGCGGCACCTTTGGGTTGTCAGCCATCTTCGTTGCCCTTCTCATACCTGGGGTCCCAGTAGGCGCAAACATGAAGTTAAAGAAACACTGGAAGCCCATAATTGATCGTTTTTATTCTAAACTCTCGCCTTGGAAATCGAAAGCGCTTTCCTTTGGAGGAAGATTAACCTTAGCCAAAGCGGTACTTGGCAGCATACCATTGTATTATTTCTCTCTATTTGTGGCTCCGGTGGGAGTTATTGACATTCTTGAAAAAATTCGTAGACAATTCTTATGGGGTGGGAGCGATAACAAACGAAAAATTGCTTGGGTATCATGGGGAAAGGTCGTTGCTTCAAAGGAGAAAGGGGGACTTGGTCTTGGCTCACTCAAGGCCTTTAACATATCATTGATTGTCAAA